GGCAAGGCGACGGGGGTGGATGAATTCGAACTTTGCCCATTCATTAAGTGGTTTGAAAATCAATGGGAAATTCTAAACACTTTTTGCGTAGTGAACTATGGATTTTTGACCATATTCGGCCTAAATACGCCCAGAAAACAATGGACTAGGACCCTGACATTTTCACAGTCAATCGACCTTTGGCCAAAGATCAAGTGGTATGAAAATCAATGGGAAATTCCAAATACTTTTCCCATAGTGAACTATGGATTTTTTACCCAATTCGGCCTAAATACCCATAGAAAACAATGGGCTAGGACCATGAAATTCTCAGTCATTCCACCTTTGCCCACAGATTAAATGGTGCGAAAATCAGTTGAAAATTGACTGTTTATTTCACCCAACAGAAAGGATTCTAACCCAATGGTACTTATGATCCGAAATGGCCTTCACCAGTCTTTTCTCTCAATTTTTACACTTTAAATCAAAGTAGAGATTTGAATCCTTTTTCCTGTTTAAAGAGGGGCTAGTGAATATGAATTCCCCCAAATTTTACGGTCGTAGCTGCAAGTTAAGGTACCCAAACACAGCCCCAAAGGTCAAAATTGAGGCATATAGCCTTATTTTTCGGCTTTTTTTGGCAAGTGAGAAACGGGCCATTAAATCTTAGTGAAAGATTGAAACTGCCTGAATTTTGCATAAATCATTCCCCTGTGATAACGTAATGCAGGATCTAAAGCAAGATCTCTGCAGACCCTTGGGAAAGCTAACTTCTGTTAGCAGCATGCTAATGACTTGAATCCAATTGAGCCTTTAAGAGGGTCCTCTTTTGTCCATCATATGTGAATATTATGACAATAAGCCATTTACAAGTGTTTTCAAATGCACCCAACAAAGATGATTCGAACCAGATGGCACCAGTTTTCACCAGTCTTTTCTCTAACTTTTTATACTCTAAATCAGGGTAGAGATTTGACTCCTTTTCTCCTTCAAAGAGGGGCTCGTCACCATTACCTACCTATGATCTGGACTTCGTAGCTGCAAGTTAACGTCCCCAAAAACAGCCCCAAAGGGCTTAATTGATGCCTTATTCCCTTATATGAGTGGATTTTTTGACATATGCAAGAATGGCCATAATCTCTCAAATATGGGTCCCAGAACCCACAGATTCTGGACACACATTGTGGACTAGGCCTACAATGAGGTCACCTGAACAGAATCCCTCTAGATTGTCTAGAAAAGATTTTTGCCTGTATGACACTCAGACCTCAGCATGGTGTTCACGTCCCTAAGGCGTACACCCTGTTGTACTCTTGGTGAGATCAGACCAACTTTTACTTCTAAAGATGTCAGAGCCCTGCTTTTTTAATATGTTGTAGACTTGTTTGAAAACTCCAGAGTTATCTCTTCTTGTGGACAGTCGTAAACGCATACGTTTAGAAACGATGACATAAACACCCACGTTGTCTTTAATAGCAGCTGTTGTTCAGTTAAAGTCTGCATTTCTGCAGAGGAAGCAGCTGTTATTGGAGCGATTAGCGAGCAGCTTGTCCAGCGGCGTTAGCAGACCTACGGAGCGGCCCCATCTGAAGTCACGTTAACCTAATTCATGATATAGATTAGACCACATGGGATCACCTTTCGGTTTGTTTTTTTCCACATGGAACTATACATTCTGCCATTTCTCCTCGACTCTTTCCGCTTTGAGTCATTCAGCAGTGATTGTCAGAGCTAGCTGCACCACAAACAGTCGGTTTGGACACCTGCATTTACTTTGACAGTCTTTTATGTTACAAACACTGAAGCGCATTCAAAAAACATTTGTTTTTTTGTCGATCATTACAGGCTTACATTTATGATTGCATTCAGAGCTGAACTCAAAACATTCGAGGCTTAAGACCTGGCAAAATGATCTTGCTACGCCACTGGTACACGCAGGAAATATTGTCTAACTCGTGCACGCAGTGTCTCATGGTCACAGAAAGCACGGCCGCGGCAACTAGAGTCCTGCTAGTACCCTCGACGTGCGTGAAGGTGCGAGGGCCCGATCAATGTTGCTTGCATTCATTATTTGTAAAAAAGACATTTTGTCAAGGTTAAATGCACTAACCATTATGCTGTTTTTGTAAACACACTATAATATATAAAATATAACACTGCAGTTTTTGCAGGTACTATTAGTAAAAAGAAATACATTTTGTCACGGTTAAATGTACGAACCATTGTGCTAATAATGGAAATATACCATAAGATAAATTTGAAGGCCAACACTGTAATTTTTGAAAGACATTTTGTCACTGTTTCAACAGTCAGAACTAATATTTAACCAACAAACAAAACAATAAGTGCTAGATGCAAACTAGTCTGCTTATTCAAAGCAGTAGAGAGTAACCTTCCATAAGTTTTCCTTGTTTTGTAATCCTTTTTTGCAGAGCATAAGTTGCATCTCACCCCTCACCCCATCCCCCACCCCTCTTTTGATCTCTGTTGGTTAGTATTTTGTAACATTGCAGGTGCAGATCTCGCTACAGTTTCATGGCACCCTGTGACATCTATTCCTAACCTGTGTGCAGTGCACTCTATATGATCATACCGAAGCTGTTTCACTGTTTAAAGATTCCCCCATGACACTTTAAGACCAACAGGTGCCTGTCTCAGTGAATAACCTGACCAAATGTGACAGACAGACAGAGCAATTTTAAAAAAGCAACGGTTGGAGGCTGAACTTTTGAACTCATTTCAGCGCCTTTTCTGCGCGCTCAGGCAGCACTGCGCGCAGCTCTTCTGTGGATATTAACCTGAGCGTTACTGATGATCAACGGCCTGACTCCTGGAAACACACTTCTTCTGAAGGTAAGCATGTCAGCTAGCTAACGTTACATTTTAATTTGAGGCTTTGTTTTCTGCAGTTTTGTGTCGCCCTTGCAAAAACGAGTCATTCAACGTTAAGAGTAAGTTAACTTGGCTATCTAATGAGTTGAGTTTATTTTTCGTGGATGTAACGTGGGTTATGGGTTTCTGTGTTGAACATTAGCTAGCTTACTTTACCAAAGGTTTGCTAGGAAAATGTTTAGTTGTAATTTCTGTGGCAAGTCAGTTAAAGCTAAAACATCGAGGGGTTATGTGCTTCATTGCAAACTTCATCGTAATGAACCACGTTGTTTAAGTGCGTTGAAGCCGGTTGCAAGCAGACCTTTGATAGATATGGAGCTATAAGGCTAATTTCTACCAGAGGCATAACGGTAACGTATCAGCTAACGTTACAGCTAAGCTAACGTTAGAGTTAACGTTACTGTTGGGACGGCTGTTAACTTTACCGCTTATAAACTGTCTGTTAACGTTACCGCTCATAAATGCGCTATGTCTGTTAACGTTACCGCTCATAAATGCGCCATGTCTGTTAGCGTTACCGCTCATAAATGCGCCATGTCTGTTAACGTTACCGCTCATAAATGCGCCATGTCTGTTAACGTTACCGCTCATAAATGCGCCATGTCTGTTAACGTTACCGCTCATAAATGTGCTATGGCGTTATATGAACGCACATGTCCAGACACAAAGTAGCTAATTATTAAAGTGAGTGGATGGTAAAATGGTTTCATGGTCAGATCTTCATTTACCGCCCACATGCCACGGAGACACAAATAGCAGACAGCAGTATTAGTGACATGTACAGAGAATCTGCTTCTCCTCAGTCATCAGCTGTTCCAACTGAATCACATGACTGTGGCCCTCACCTGCATGACTCAGAAAATGTTACAGAGACCAGCACAGATAAAGGTGATCTGGATATTTCTGAAAACTTCAGTGATCTTTTTCTCTGTTTATTCTACTTGAAATTGCAGGGACAGTTTCTACTACCTGCTTGGACCAAACTAACTTCACTGTTTAAAAATGACACACCATTATCAGATGAGGACATCAGCAAAGTTTGTGAGTCTTTGAGAATTTGATATTTTCTCTGCATGTCATAGAGGGCGAATGAGGACAACATACTCAAGAGCTCAGTCTTTCAAAAAAGGGTTCAACTATGTGGAGCCTAAGAAAATGTTTTTAGGACGAGATGAGAACAGGACTGATATGTTTGCATATTATGTGCTTGTGAAAGAGACTTTAATGTGTTTGTTGGAATCTGATCTGTGGAAGAACTGTGTGTCAGGAGAGCAGTCAACTGAGTCTCCCTCAGAGTCAGATGTTGTAAGCGACATTAGTGATGGTCAGAAATCCAATGATTTTTTTTTGGTCAAAATCCATCATGCTTCAAGCTAGTACTATACCAGGATGCTTTTGAAGTTGTTAACCCTTTAGGCTCTGCAAAGACAATACAAAAAATATCAGCTGTCTATGTATCTGATGATAATTTGCCAGTTCATGTAAGGTCTGACACAAACCACATGTCACTTGTTTTATTGTGTAGAGAGAAAGATTTCAAAACATTTGGGCATGCTAAGGTGTTCTCTGAATTACTAACAGACTTGAAGGATTTGGAGGAGAACGGGATCGTAGTATCAGATGAAACAGTAGTCAAAATAACCTTATATTGCATTGCAGGAGATAATTTGGCCTCTCATGGCATTGGTGCCTTCACTGAAAATTTCAGTCACTCGCAATATTTCTGTAGGTACTGCCTAATAACCCGATCTGAATTTCAGGGTGACGATCCAAATCTGTGCAGAGCAGAGCGCACCATTGACAGCTACAACTCTGCTGTTGATCGCCTCCAGACCCAAGATAAACCAGATGTGGAAGGAGTAAAGTTCAAGTCAGTATTCAATTCTTTGAAATACTTGAATGTCTGTCAAAAGAAAGACAATTTGTTCCAGTGCTTTTGTGAAACTTCTAGGTCGAAGGCAGGTGGCATTGCTAAGAAGAATCTCCTTTAAAGTAAGTAAATTGTACACATATCTAACAAATATCTGAACATTTTAATTGGTACAAGAGCAGTTTGTGCAGATAATTAAGACAATTTACTCTAATCTTGCAACATTGAATTAATTTGCTCCTGCCACCTTTCAGACATTGCATTCAAACTAGTGGTTGTGGACTTGGATGGGAACAACTTGCTGGCTTTTATGACAACCAGGAAAACGGTGGGATTTTAATCCATTTAAATGCCCAAAGCAAGCAGTTGTTTTTTTTTTATTTTTAAAGATGATTTTTTGTCATTCGTGTTTTATTGGACAGCAGAAGTAGAGAGACAGGAACCACAGTGGAGTGAGAGGGGATGATCTGCAACACATGGCCCAACGGGAATCAAACCTTTGTTGCTGCGATAACAATATGTGGTACGGGCTAAACCAGGTGAGGCACTGTTTTTATTTTTGAGTGTGAATTTAGCCATTTCATTTTAATTTGCAACCTTTGCATTGAAAAGAGTAAAAGTTGATGCTTGAGATGATTTCATCTTTCACTTAAGAGGATGTATGTCCACCCCTTGTCTTTTTTCTCTTTATTCTTTCTTTCAGGTGTGATTACGACTACCAGCGGTTGTACTTCAGATGGACCTCATCACCCTCTTTGCTGTCCTACTAGTGTAACCTTATGATCGGATACATACAAGTGTTGTCAAGGATAAACAGAGGTAAGTTGTTGTAAAGTTCAATGTATGTTCATTTAACAAGAGAAGGCTTTAGGGTCTTCTATTTTTGTAAGCACTGTGTAGCCATTTCATGTTCAAACAGTGTATGCATGTATTGTTGATGTTAAGTACTGCATAAACCTAGGCATTTCATAATCCAATGTGATTTTAACTTCTTGCCAGAATAACATTTTTTGACATACTGTGAATTTATTTTGACTTTATTGACATACCATATGTATTATGGCTATTTCTTATTCATGAATCATATTTGTAGCTTGACCTTTTTATGAAATCTTTAACCCTACTCTTTGTTTACCCTTTGGTAAGTTTGTTCTGTTTTACCCTCTTTAATGTTTTGTGTTTTTATAGTTTGATTGTTTTTTGTGTGAAGTATGAGAACCATTTTGCAACTGTGTAAGTGCTATATAAAGTTATATTATTGGTGATGTTACTGTTATTATTATTGTTAGTATTGTTAATGTTTTCTATGTTGTCTTTTTTCTGGCTGGAAGATCATGCTAGCCCACAGCGAACACCAGATTGACTTGTGAGTCTTCAAGCAGAAATTATGACAACACCTGCCTAAAGTTCCAGTTTCCTGAACAGCATACCCTGTCTGTATGAGACTCTGTCCCACCTGTCTTCAGTCAAGTCTGGACCCAATGACTCAGACACCAGTCTTGTCAAGGCTAATTAGAGGTAAGCAGTGCGATAGGTGCAACTCAAACTTCACTCAATCAATCATCCTCAGGTGCACGGTCTGAGCCAACCGCTTCATGCAAACATAGATGAAACCACTGGAATATAGTTTTGTATTAGTACTATTTGTTTTTTAGTGCTCTGAACTGATATCCCCCTTACATTACGTTTCACGTAGCAGTAAAATGTCATTAATTCTGTGTACTATCTTTCCAAAATCCACCCAAAAGGGGTTTGCACCTGTGTCTTTGCACCCAAGTGGGCCCTACAGTGCACTCTTATGTTTATTTGATGGTAAATGCTGGGGGTCATTTTTTGGTAGACAGCAGAATTCATGGTTCCATTTACCACAGCAAGTCTTCCAGGTCCTGAAGCAGCAAAACAGCCCCAGACCATCACATTACCACCACCATATTTTACTGTTGGTATGATGTTCCTTTTCTGAAATGCCGTGTTACTTTTATGCCAGATGTAATGGGACATACACCTTCCAAAAAGTTCAACTTTTGTCTTCCTTAATTGAGGCAAGTGAGGCCTGCAGTTCTTTGGATGTTGTTCTGGGGTCTTTTGTGACCTCTTGGATGAGTCGTCGCTGCGCTCTTGGGGTAGTTTTGGTCGGCCGGCCACTCCTGGGAAGGTTCACCACTGTTCCATGTTTTCGCCATTTGTGGATAATGGCTCTCACTGTGGTTCGCTGGAGTCCCAAAGCTTCAGAAATGGCTTTGTAACCTTTTCCAGACTGATAGATATATATATATATATATACATATATATACATATACATATATATACATATATACATATATATATATATACACATATATACATATATATACACACATATATATTGATTTAATTAATTGAAGTGGCCGTGGGGCAGACACAGTCTCTATGTGGTTTTGGGTGAGTAACTGCTCTAATGGAAGCTCAGAGGAGTGTGTAAGACTGCAACTCTGCTTCCTGGTCTGAACTCTGGGTTGTCATGGACCAGGTCCATACAAAAACTGGGTCAGATTTGCAGAAATGAGATCTGCTCCATCCAAAGTGGGATGAATGCCGTCCCTCCTAAGCAAACCAGGTTTTCCCCAGAAAGTGTCCCAGTTGTCTACGAAGCCCACATTGTTTGCTGGGCACCACCAAGACAGCCAGTGGTGAAACGATGACATGCGGCTAAACATTTCATCCTTGGTCAGATTCGGGAGGGGGCCAGATAAAACTACGGAGTCCGACATGGCTTTTGCATATGTACACACAGATTCCACATTTACTTTAGTGATCTCAGAGAGCCGTAGCCGGCTGTCATTCCCGCCGACGTGAATAACAATCTTACTGTATTTACGGTTATCTTTAGCCAGTACTTTCAGATAGGACTCAATGTCTCCTGCTCTGGCCCCGGGTATACATGTCACTGTAGCCTCTGGTTTGGCTAGCTTCACGTTTCTCAGAATAGAGCTACCTATGACCAGAGTTGGTCTCTCAGCTGAGAAATCAACTCTGCTGTGTGCGGAAGACCCGTTTGTAACACGAAGTGGCTGCTGGCGAGCCGAGTGCTTCGCCCAAGGTTTAATCCTCCCGGGAGCAGTCACCTGGCCCCCCGGCTGCTCGGGGGCTGCAGGGAGACGGCTAGCGGGAGCCACGTCTGTTTGGGCTGCACCGGCTACGCCCGTAGTCACCAGCGTCTTAGCTTCCATGGTGCGGAGCCGTACTTCTATCTCGCTAAGCCTTGCATCTAACCATTGAGTTACCTCCGTCTGCGCCAACGAGTAGGGGTAAAGGGTAGAGGAAGCCCGGGAGGGAGTATTCTCCGTCAGGACTGCGAAGTGGTTGGAGGTGGTTAACGGAAACTCCTCAGCTGGTTTTCTCAGGAGGCCGCGGCGTACCACCTCCATCCAGGATGCCGGTTTCGGAGTGGAGCTATGGGTCGGGTCTATAGCAGGTCCTCTCAGCTGGTGGTCGGAGGACTGACTACATTCCCCGTCCACAGAGCCGGGTAGCCAGGGAACAGTGTCCGCAGTGTCCGAGACCAGTTGAGATTACATAGATGAGATATGCTTTGCCTGGGCCGCCGCTATGGATACGAATCCGTCGATCAGCTGTTCCCTTTTCCGGACTTCAGACTCCAGGCGGTGAAAATCGTCCCTTAACTGTGAGTATGCGAGTTTGCAGTCTCCACATATACCTGGCCGAGTGGCCATGTTGGAAGTTCCTGCTTCCGGTTTATCTGAAATGAGAGGAAAAAGGTGATGGCTCTGCTCAGAAGTTCTCACAAAAACAAACAAACAAATGTATGTAGCAGAAGTCGGTAGGCAGGCGAGTGAAAGGCGTAAAGGTGTGTGTGATGCGATGGCCTCCACACTGTCTCAGCTGCAGTTCGGTCTCAGCTACAACACGTGTCCCTCGCTACCCGATCTGAACATCCTCTCCAATCGGTACTGCACATGCGCAACTTTCATCAGCGATCAGTTCTACTGGTTTAAAATTGTTTGCAAGTTCCTGTACTGAGTCTACAAAAAAAGCATTGAATTCATTTGCAATTGTTGCATTATCAGAGATAGGTTCGGTGTTTGAGTTGGTTAAACAATTCATGTGCTTCCACAATTTGGAACTACTACCCTTAGCCTCTTCAATAAGTTTCGAGAAGTAATTCATCTTAGCTTTGCGTAGCTCAGTAACTTTGTTTCTTAGGCCTGTATAAATGAGATGATCAGTATCAGTCTTTGTGACTAGAGACCTTTTGAGGGCAAAGTCATGTTTTTTCATTAATTACCAGTTATCTTGACCAAGCCATGGCCTGAGCTCCTTTTAGGGCTGCTCTTCCATGTTTTAGTATAGCTGTCATGAAATTATCACAGCAGGTGTTCAAATCATGTGTTTCTGTTACTGTATCCCAGTTCATTTGCATCAGTTCTCTTTCAAAGTCTACCATTTTACATTTTGGAATCCCTGATTTTACAGATTTCATGTCATTCTTGGTATGATGAACCAGTCCTTTTTTGGTCAGCTTTCTAACAACCAATGTCATATTATGATCTGATAGGCCTGTGATCAGATTGTATGTTTTAGTTATTCTTTCTGTCCTGTTCGTGAAAGCAAGGTCAATCAGAGTTTTACTTTTTCTTGTTATTCTTGTGGGTTTATCAATCAGTTGTTGGTAATTGAATTTTGTCGTTATTGTTTTTCGTTTAGCAGCTTTATCCATCCAGTTGATGTTGTAATCCCCAAACAAAATACTTTCAGAAGAATGATTACATATTGCGAGAAGTTTTTTCAGTTCATCATAAAAGCTGATGTCGTGTGAAGGTGGGTTGTACAAAACAACATTGAAATTCATCTGGGGTGAAAGAACAATATTCAGTCCCAGGCATTCAAGATTACAATCCAGTTGTATTTCTGTACATCTAAAATTCTCTCTAATATATATCATAACTCCTCCTCCTCTCCCTATTGGTCTTTCCTAGAGCAAGTGTATCCTGGAATATTTATTAAATTTGATGGTATGTCACGGTTAAGCCAGCTCTCAGTAAGACATAAAAAGTCCAGGTTAGAGTCAATAAGCAGGTTTTGTATTTGGTATTTGGTTAGTATGCTTCGGATATTTAGGTGACCACCAAGTATGCCTTTAGGTTTAGTTTCACCTTCCCAAACAACCTCAGAATCAACAAGGCGCCGTCTCTCGTGAAGCGTAAAATCCGATACACCGAAAGTCAAATCCTCCCCCCTGGTCCCCCGGCTTAGATTACACCCCCTGTATTCATGGAAGGAGTTCACTGATAAACAGGATATCCGTTGAACAGATATCTGAGTGAAAAAAACGGGATATTATGCTTTGTCTTTATGAAAACAGCGAAAGGTGAGGCGCGTTTTCTGATAATAATCGATAAAGCGGTTGGTGTTGCTGGTGTTTGTTGGCTCATATCTCAGTAATGGTTTCACGGAGAGAAATATTGAAGATATCTCCGGAATCTGTGTAGAATTGGCTTGCTTTCTGGCATCTCGGTTTTCTTTGTTAGCATGTAGCTATCTCTCAGTAGCTCCTAACATGTGCGGAGTCTGCTCACTCATGGCGAAATATGACTATGATATTTTGATCATTCTTATAGTTGGTTGTTTAGCTGTGTAGAGTTGTGTTTGGAGCATGTACAAGCGGCTTGAATATTATTGTAGCCCAGGTTCTGAAGTTTCATTTGGTATGCAATATCATTATATTCGTTTTGTGATGAGTGTATTTTTTCGATGGTATATGGTAAACTGTTAAACCTGACGGGCTGTCGAGCCCTCGGTGTGGGGTTTAAGTTTGCCAAACGACACAAAAACAGTTGTCGTTCCCTTGACTTTCCCCCCCCGGACCCAAGCCAAAAAATTAACTAAACATAATGTTATACGTGACTTACAGACCCAGGTTAGTGGCACAGCAAACACACAGATGCTATAGGCCAAAGCCTATGATTTGATCATCATTTGTGCTTATCATTTGATGAAAGCACAGTGAACAGGCAATGGTTTGCGTTACCTTAAACAAACCAGACCGAGGCTGCATCCCATTACAATTATAAACATTATCACAGCCACAAATGTTGGTCTTACAGAAAACACAGCAAGATACCTTGTCCAAGAGCTATTCTAAACGCAACAGCCAATGCTACTCAGTTAAAGCTTCTGGAGGTAATAAAGCCAAACCTGGGAGGAAGGGGAGGTGGATGAGTCAAATAAACAGGAATTTCAACCAGGAGACAAACCAATGTATTGTTTGTCTTTGTGTTAACAATGTTGAGTTTCACTTTATGAACATAAGCAAGTGCTGTTTGAATTCACGTCGTTTTTACGTGTTTACTGCGACTGTAGTAGATCGTCATAGTCACACGTTTGGCTACCAAGTGCATTAGAAAGTGATGCCAAGGGTCCTGACCAATCGTCAGTATCTGATGAATTGGGATGAGAACAGGTTGGGTGAAGACAGGATGAGACGGAGGGACTCTGGAGCAATGTACTGTGGAAGTGTCAACCCTGTAGGTTGCCCTTAAACTCTTTTCAAAGTTAGGCTTTTCCTAAAATTAAGAAAAAGTACAAACTTCCTCTGAGGTTGTCACCATAAAAGCTCCAAAAGTCCGGCCCTCAAAGGTCGGGTAACATCAGCACACCACAAACAATAAATCACAGACAAATAATAATTACCACTCCCTCACAAATCAGCACGGATAGATAACCTTAAATCTCAGCTCATTACTCCTTATCTCACCTGCCAACCTTCTGGATTAGCAGCAAACACTTTGAAGTGCATTTGCGGAGAAAATCAT